TGAGTGTCAGTGGAGGAAAAGAGAAAGAACAAGCATGCAGAAGCAGGAGAATCCTTGTGGACCAAGTGTTCTGGGACTGCAGGGCTTGTCCTGGTCTTCAGAGGTGTACTGAACTGGGAGACAGATTGGTAGAAGTGACCGCTCATGAGAAGAGCCTGCAGGATTGCATGAAGACACACGGTGGTTGCTTGGGTAGTTTACTCCCAGGAAATAGAAAAGAAGTTTCCAGAGAGACCTGGAGTCCCTGGTGTACATGTATACTGTTCAAATCAGCATGTCTGCATTCTGATGAAGACTGGCTCACTCCCATTTCTGCCATACCACCACTTCTGGCTTTTTGGCCGTTAATGGAGGTAAGAGTCTCACAGCCTTTCCTTCCTGCTCTGGCTACAGTGTGATCCCCAGATCTGTGTGTGATCCTCTCCTGAACTGCTAGGATGAGAAGGAGAGCACTGGGGCCTGGCTCCACTTGCTTGTTCTAACCCCCCCATTTCCTCATCAGTGTCACTGTGACACTGGGTTGGTGTTGAAATGCACACACTGCTGTGCAGCATCGGTCTCAAACAATGAACAAGTAGTGACATCACTGATCCCGAGAACCGGGTCTCTCAAGGATCAGATTGTGATGGTGGAGAGGGAACGTCTTCTACCTGTGCCATGGATGTACAGAGACTTACTAACCGTTTATTCACTCCTTATTGCTGACCCGTGTGCTCTTGATATTAGGGGGCAGACGCCAGTTCTGCAGGGCAGGAGTGTCCTTATCGGCCTCGTAAGGAGAGATGATCTTGCTTCCTGGAACAAAGAGGCACAAAGCACCAGTGTATGAACCCACTCCCCATCTGCTGTGAAAAGTGCAGTGTTTCTCTTCCTGCTGATCTCTGTCTGTGGAAACGTCTGAATGAGACGGGACAGCAGGAGCCCACGGTGCTCCCTCACAGTCCTCACCCTGCCTCCCTGTCACCCGGAATTCTTGGTCTCTGGAGCAGAGCTGAGCAATTCTTTCCAGAGAATTCCATATTTGACTGCTCAGCCCATGATTCTGGCAGCAGCGGAAGGCAGAGGACGCAAGCCAGAAGACACAGGTCAGACCATGGAGCAAACGCCCTCCACTGGAGTTCATGCATGGAATCCACGTCCCTGGAGGGTCGGCAGCAGGCTGGCCCCTGTGGTGACCCGGTGAGTCTGTCACTCGCGCCTCAGGCACAGGGTAGAACAACAGTGTCAGGCACTGGATGCGGCCTGTCCTCACCCCGGCCCCTGGAGGAGAAGCTCTGAGAAGCACAGGGCTCTGTGAGCGCTGCCGCTGCCCGCACTGCGCTCTTAGGAGCCTTCCAATTATGGTGTCCGTTCCTCCTCCACTGCGCTTTCCTCGTCTTGAGTTCCTGGCTCTTTTTGAGTGGTTTGCCTTGCTGTTTCCTCTAAATATGTGAATACGACTGTCATCCAATAGTGCTGAGAGGGGTCACCAAGGTGACACCACATGCTCTGTCCAGTAATGAAGTCACAGGACACGTTACTGGAGGCGGCGTCTTGACCTTCACGGTCTCTCTGGAGAAGCACCAGTCAACACGCTGTTGCTCCTTATACATGCAGATGAAATACTGGAGCTAAAGTGAAGGTGACAGATGATTGCTTTTTTATTTCTGGTGGTGGTCTTGGGCCCTGAACTCCAGGACAGCCTGGGTGCAGTCTCTGCGCATTTCTGCTCCAGGCTCAGGCTCTACTACTGAGCCCCAGCTCCATTCCTCGCCTTTGGTGGTTAATTGGAGATCAGAGTCCTATGGACTTTCCTGCCCAGCCTCACTTAGAACACAATCCTCAGATGCCAGGTTCCTGAGTTGCTAGAATTACACGCATTATTGACAGGTTCCCAGCTAGGTGATGACAAGTTCAGGATCTAACAGTGTTTGCAGAACACTTAATGTAATGGCTCCAGAACACATCTTCTCGTCAGCACAGGGCCCGTCCTCCATGAGTGATCCTACAGCAGCCTCAGGACAAGACTCAGAAATCCACAAGGCTGAAAGGAGGTCATTTCTTCAACAACAATTAGGTTCCAAGTCTCAGAACCTAGAAGACACCATCTCTGCAGAATATGGAGGAGTCCATGTAAGTCCATGTTCTGTAGATTAGCTTTATTTAGACAATGGTTTTACAGTAACTGCACCCTCGGAATCATGGGGCTGCACAGAAGAGGAAGGAAAATGCTGAGCAGAGGCAGCAGTGGTACTCACTAGACACTATGTAGATGATGACTTACAACTGATGGATGGAGAAATGTTGAGAGCTAGGGAAGGGTGGTATTGTCCAAAGAAAACATTCTTTATCTAACTTATGCAACTGTAACCCCTGTGAAGATCACATTTATAATAACAATAATAATTTTGGCAAATCTAAATACATGTATATTTAATTATGAATTTGTACCAATAGAAGTGGAACAATATTTTCCATTCTATAAAAATTTTGAAAAGTGTTTTCAGGAAACCAAAATGAGCACCAATATCAGAAGTATTCACACATGCCCTGAGATGTTCCTTCCCCGTCCTTGTTACCCATGAAACACAGTGTGCTCTCGGTAGAAGATCTCATGTCTCCTACATCATCTGTCCTTCCTCTCCCTCATTGCTGAGGTCAGTGTCCTCTGCTCCATTCTTGAGCTGAGTGGGTCACGGTCCTCTAGTGAGAGCAGGAGAGACGTGATGCACTGCAGGAACTGCTGAAAGAAGACATAGAGATCCAGGCTCATGGGGACACTGCTGACAAGCCTGCATTTCTTCTGTCATCATCTGCATATCTGTCACTTCCTCTCATCTCATCAACTGCTTACTGCCAACAACCTCACTGAGGATAAATGCTGACATGAACCTCACAGTCACCAAGTGTGCACTTGACATGCATTTGCATATGGACAACTACACAATATCTGTACAAGTCTTTGCCAGTTCATCAATGGGTTTTCCAACAGTTGAGTGTTGAGGGTTCCTCTCTCAGTCTGGATGCACAAATGCTGTTTGTTGTGTGATTTGCCAACATTTCTTCCTCTCCAAAGCATGTCATTTATTTTTCACTTGAACAGGAATTTTATGAGTTTTAAATCACATCTTTAATTGATCCTGGTATAAAATCTAAATTATCAATTGGCTATTCCATGGGCTCTATATTCTGCATAGAAAGCCTTGATTTTCCTGTGTCTTCATTAGAAACCTGACCAGTTGTTGATGTATTTGGACATGAATGTGAATGGGAGGCCTGACCTGTTATTGATGTGTGTGCATGTGTCTGAGCTTGTGTGTACAGACGCATTCATATGGCATACTTTCCATAATACTACTCATAAGTGTGGCTTCTTACTCAAACTTGAGTCAAAATTATCAGGAGAGTTGTGCTTCTGGGTTCCATAACTTGGAGGTCCAAGTGGAAAGTCAGGTCTTGGTCACCAGCACGTCAGCACAGAGAGGAGGTGAACGTTCAGAATGGGGCCTGGTGGGAGGGGTGCAGGCCCAGGCCCAGGGGTTGAACAGGACAGAGCCCTCCTCAGGACAAGAGACCCTGATGTCCCGCAGTCATTTCAGTCCCTGATGGTGACGTTTAAAGTGTGAGTGTGTCTTATGTTAAAATCGCAGCAGAACACAGAAGGTTCTGCCATGTGGGTCTGGGTTGTAGGTGGCTGCCTCTGAAATGTCCCTGGTTGTCATTTCTGTTTTTCTGGTCAGCAGCCCCGACCTCTCTCTGTCCACAGCAAATCTTAGGATTTGTTACTCTGGCCACTGCCATAATGTGGCACTGCCTAACATAACTCTCTTTTAATTACCCGTTGATACTTTCTGACTTTACATTATTCTTTGTCCTCTTCTCACGTTTTATTGCAAGTAATGAAAGAAAGCAATCCTGAATGCTTGACACTGCTGAGAGATTCAGACTCCCATAAGCTTGCTGGCCTACACGAGGTGGACTTCTACAGTCACCCAAGATGTGAATGTACTTCAGCCACTTCTGCCACGTCCTCCCTAGGATGTCCTGTGCTCCATGCTTCCTGCTCTGTCCCTAATTTCTACTTGGTGTCTGTCCATCTGTCTTCCTACTCCATCTTCTGTATGGCCACATCCTGTTCACCTTTGCAGGAGGTCGATGCAGTCGTGCATGCTGGCCACACTGTCCACCCACCTTCTCCAGACGGATGAGCCACGTTTGATCTGCAGGAAGACACATCCAGTAGTGTGGTGAGCCCACAGCACACGTGCAGCCGAGTGCGGTTGCACACTCATGAAGGTGAGTGTGAACTTGGGTGTGTCAAGTCAGATACTGGTCTGCTGCACACACACCAGGCCCACCTGGGTCTGTGAGCGCAGCCTGGGCGGGAGGACGGAGGCCTGGTCCTGTCAGCACAGGCTCTGGAGTCTGCAGTCACCGCTCCCACAGCCGGGCCCAGTCTATGCTCACCAGGAAGCCCCAGAATCTCTGTGCTGAACCTGCAGGAGAGCCTGCACCTGGGAGCCCTGAGCGCTCCAGACCCGCCCTGGGCCTGTGCAGAGCCAGCTCTGCCCTGAGCCAGAGCCTGGGCCTCGCTGCTCTGTCAGGCCCTGCCTGGCGTTCAGATGGAAGGAGCCCAGCCTCTGTGTCTGTGCAGCAGTGCAGGGGAGACACCAGCTGGGGTCCTGGAGCCCTGGGAGGGTGGAGGCCAGACCCCAGGGCCACCTCCTCACCACACCTGCAGCTGACGCGGCTCAGCGCCTCCTGGCCCAGGCCGCTGCACCTGTGTGTCTGGGCCCCACTGGCTCCTCTCACTGTGCCCTGCACAGTGACACAGGGCCGTGTCCTCGGTTCTCAGGCTGCGCATTTGCAGGTACAGCGTGCTTTGACTGTTGTCTCTAGAGATGGTGAACCGGCCTTCACAGAGTCTGCATACCGTGTGCTACCACCATCTGGATTAATTTCTCCAAGCCATTCCAGCCTCTTCCCTGGATCTTGGCAGATCCAGCTCATCCAGTAACTACTCAATGTGAATCCAGAGGCTGCACAGGAGAGTCTCCGGGAATCCCCCAGGCTGCACCAAGCCTCCCCCAGACTCCACCAGCTGCACCTCACACTGCACACCTGCAAACACAGAGAATCCTGGTCAGCAATGGTCACACACATCTACTGTTCATCCCATTTTTGTCCACTTGAACACTCAGTATCCCTTGCTCCCCATAAATCACCTTTCCACAGAGCAACAAGAAGAACCCAGCACAGCCCCAGCTCCATGGTGGTGGTCTGTGCTCAGTCACTGGTGGAATCAGCTCACAGAGCTCAGGTCAGGGATGGGCTGGCTTCCATGGGCAAAGGGACATCCTATTTGCATGTCCTCTGCTATAAAGTAGCTCTGCGGTGAAGTCTAGAGATTGGCCTGTGTCACGGCCATGCTGTGGTTGCTGAAAGAAAGTCTCTCAGAGTCCTGCATTAGATAAGGCAGCCGCTTCACGCCGGGCGCTCAGCACACAGGAATTCCCTGCTGCGCCCACAGAGAGGCTTCAGCCACTGGCCCTCAGCCAGAGCTCTACGACCCTTCCTAGGAAGGTCTTCTGATGAAGCGAGGCTGCTGTGCTTGGCCTCAGGCTATTACTATTTGCACAGATGCCTGCGTAAATGTTCAGATAAGAAAACCAAACATGCATCACTGCTGAGTATAATTTTATTTTTCTTTGTGCTGGTTGCTGTTAAATTGTGGTCGTGCATTAATTTAACACTGAATAGATGGGTATGCTATTTACCTGAATTTTATCATTACATATTACATTAGCATATCAAATTACTAAGATCTCTCTCCTAAATGTGTTGTGTCCATATAAAAGTATACAAATGTATCTTAGTGGTAGAACACTCAACATAAATGATGTTTAGATTCAAATTATAGGAGGAAATATAATTGTGCGGGAATGGGGAGAAAGTTTCAATGGGTGACACTGATGGACACATGTTGATCAAATTGATTTCTTTCTTTTTATGTCTTTGTTGGTGGTGGGGCAGACATGTCCAGAGGGACTGTGGGATGCTGGGGAGGTGTCCAGAGGGACCCCAGGAATGGGAGGAGGGAGCGTCACAGAACCTGACACCCAGCTCCCACCCAGCTTCTGGGGTGAGATCCAGGGCTGCTGGCCCTGAGCACCTCCACAGCTCAGGCTCAGGGTCCGGTGGACAGTCTGTGTCAGGACTCACACTGACATCTCTCCCAGTGTCTCTTGCACAGTAATCTATGGTGAGGTCCTGGTGCTCACCGCGCTCAGCTCATGGACATCTGTTTCTAGGCTGTGTCCTCAGACATTGTGACTTGACTCCTGAGATACGGCTGTAGTTGAAGATGTCTCCTGTCCTTCCCAGCAGTTTCCCTGGGGCTGTGGGACCTGGCTCCATCAATCATGACAGCCAATGCCACCTACATGGTGCAGGCAGGAGACAGAGACCATGGAGGCTTGGCTAGGCCAGGCTGTGACTCCTGCAGCTGCTGGGACTGGACATCTGAGGACAGAACACCTCAGTGCCGGTAATGGGGAGACATGGTGTGTTCTGAGTTTGGATGCAGCATCCTCACAACATCCTGACCACATCCCAATGTCCTACACCCAGGAACGTCCAGCAAGAAACATAGGCCCACCTGGCATTCCAGGCATCAGGAAGATGTCTGTGACTCACAGGAAATATTTCCAGGGTCTGGAAGAGGCTGAGTGTAAACAAGAGAGTATGAGCCCAGTGTCGCTGGCTCATGCCTGCAAACCCAGGTACTCAGGAGCCTGAGATCTGAGGATGGTAATTCAAAGCCAGCCCTGGCAGGAAAGTCCCTGAGACTCTTATCTCCAATAACCAGAAGACCGGAAGTGGTGCTGTGGCTCAAGTGGTAGAGTGCTCCACTTGAGCTGATGAGCTGAAGGACAGCGCCCAGGCCCAGAGTTTCAGTCCAAGGTCCTACCAAAAAAAAAACCAGAAGTGTGCAGCTAGTGTCTGCTCTTCCTCTAGGAAGAGGAAGGACAGCATGGGGAAGGCCACATGGACTCTGCTCAGGATCTCTGTAGATGGAGAGAAACCAGTGGAATTGGAGAGCAATGTCCTCACCCAGCACAGGAGCCTTTAACACCCTAGACAGCTCTGTGTGGGACGCTGTGTCCTGTGGAGAGGCCAGGCACCCAGAGGAGTCAGGGCCTGAGCTCCACAGCTGCTTCTGTGACTGCCATGACCTCAGTGTGTGCACAGCGCCCCCTGCTGGTGCTGACTGAGCATGACCTCAGTGTGTGCTGAGCACCCCCTGCTGGTGCAGCGTGCTGTACAGGGAGGTTTGTGTCTGGCCCACACAGGATTTCCTGCACTGTGTCTAGTACAGTAATAGACGGCCGTGTCCTCCACTCTCAGGCTGTTCATCTGCAGGTAAAGTGTGTTCTTGCTGTTGTCTCTGGAGGTGGTGAAGCGACCTTTCACAGAGTCTGCGTAGTATGTGCTACTACTATCATAGATGTATGAAATCCACTCCAGCCCCTTCCCTGGAGCCTGGCGGACCCAGTACATGCCATAGCTACTGAAGGTGAATCCGGAGGCTGCACAGGAGAGTCTCAGGGACCCCCCAGGCTGCACCAAGCCTCCCCCAGACTCCACCAGCTGCACCTCACACTGCACACCTGCAACCACAGAGAATCTTGGTCAGCAATGGTCACACACATCCATTGTTCCTCCCACTCATGTGCATTTGAACACTTAGTATCCTTTGCTCCCCATAAATCACCTTTCAAAAGAACAACAAGGAGAACCCAGCACAGCCCAACTCCATGGTGCTGGTCTGTGCTCAGTCACTGGTGGAATCAGATCACAGAGCTCAGGTCAGGGATGGGCTGGTTTTCATGGGCAGATGGACATTCTATTTGCATGTTCTCTGCTATAAAGCAGCTCTGAGGGGAAGTCTAGAGATTGGGCTCCCAGAGCAGAGGTGACTGTGCTGGAGGAGTTTGGTGACAATGGTCACCTTGGAGACATCATGACGCACTGACCACGTGCTGTGGTTCACACTGTGCCTGTAGCTCCTTGGGAGCCTGAGGCAGAGTGTGAGAACACTGAGAGCTGTCTGGGGTGCAGAGGGACACACATGTCCTCTCACTCTGCCATTGTGCCTGGTGATCGTTCTGTCAGCATTTCTGATCACACTCAAAACACAAAGTGCAACACGCCTGTGACCTCCTTTTGCACATGCAAAACAATGTAAAACAATGGTGAATTTTTTCCACACTGGCAGCTTCTCACGTGGTATGAGCTCCATGCCTGGTCTGGGCCTGCACAGCCAAGGAGGGCCCACATTTCCTGGTGAGTTCCAGGAGAATGATGCTTTTCTGTGAGCTCTGCAGAGCCTCCTTCCTGACCTGAGGTCAGGTGTGACTTGGCCGTGCTTTACTTCATTCTGACCATCAACCAAGTTGGCCAGGGTTCAGGCAGATCCTTGATAGTGGGCTCTGGTGTATCATTTATCACTGTCAATCTTTGTTGTTTGTTTTTGTCAGTCATATGCACTCTGCATTTCTGACAGTATCTCATGTATTACATATTGTCATAACATCAATGAGTCACTACATGTAACGCACTGCTCATAGGTAAACATTGATTTGGTAACTGTTGATAAATTATTTTCATGTTCTTCACATTGTTTTATCAACCATTTGATTCCTTATTTGCTTGCAAATTTGTACCCAACTTTCGTTCTCCGTGTAATCCTGTCTTTCCTCCATCCTTCCTCATTCTCTAGTAACCAACACTTCCTTTTCTGTTCTATGCAGTCTATTTCTTCTAGACATAATGTGATACTGGTGTTTCTATGGTTGGTTTATTTCCTTTAAGCTAACTTCCTTTAGGTCTATCACAAATGACAGTCTTTCTTCCTTTCTGTGTGAGTACTGTTCCATTGTCCATACCTATCCCATTTTCTTTATCTGTTCTCTTGTTGAACCTTTACTTTAATCTCAGGCCCTTCCTCAAACTAAATGTGTAAAAAATACACACAAAACAACATAAACTTTGGAGTGTACATTCTCAGCAGAACTCCTACCCACACTTTACCAGAAGACCAGCATTTATATTCTTCCATGTTTGTGGTAACAGTCATGCTGGCATAGGTGAGGTGATATTTCACTTTAGGATTGATTTGCATTTCATTGATATTAGCATATTATCTTGTATTTCAATATTTGTCTTTTTGTTGTTGGTCCTGGGGCTTAATCTCTGGGCTTGGGCCCTGTCCCTGGGCTCTTCAGCTCAAGGGAAGAGTTCTACTGCTTGAGCCACTGTTGCATTTCTGGTTTTCTAATAGTTTATTGGAGATCAAAGTCTTACAGACTTTCCTGCCTGAGCTTGCTTTGAACCACGAGCCTTAGATCTCAGCCTCCTGAGTAGCTAGGATTAAAGAGGACAGCCACCAGCACCCAGATCATTTATCTTTTTAAAGTACTCTCAATGCAGGTCTTCTGATCATTATTTCACTGGGTTCTAGAGTTGTCTTTTGTTGTTTCCTTGAGACCTTTGTTTCCATGATACAATGTGGATAGTAAATCATTTTACAGACATTATCACTACTATCGTTATGATGAATCTTTCTCTTTTGCATTATTTCATTTTGCTGAAGAGGTGGTTCCCAGCAATCTCTTTGTGCCTTTAGGTCTTTATTTTACGCTGTTGCTGTCATATGGAGTACGAGTGCAGTCACAGGAATGAGCGTGTAGTCTACATTTTAACGTCAGACTCTGGCAGCACCAAGTTCACTTCTCTCCCTTCCCTGTGCGTCACTGGTGGACATGGATTAAGGGAGTGCTGGTTCTCCCCTCTCATGCATTCAGTGAGCGGTTCTGACCTGCTGTGTGCAGAGGAGGAACTCACCTTCCTCTGCCCCAGGCTGAGGTGAAAACCCAAGAACCTATCCTTTCTAGGCTCTCCCAAGTCATTTCACAGTTTCCTAACAGGCTTCTCTGGTCTTTCTGAATTGTCCCCAACCCTTTACTCCTCTCTGTATGTATGTGTATGGGATTATCAGACCCGACATCCACACTGAACGTTGGTCAGGTCTCGGTCTTTGCCTTGCACCATATGGATTGTGGCCTTGGCAAGAATGTTGCCACCATGGAATCTGACCTGAGCTTCGAAGGGTCCTCTGCTCCAACAGACTCCTCAGTGATGGAAATGACAGTTTTTCCCTCTTCCCTGTGTAAGTGCGTGTGCAGATTATCAGACACGATATCCATGTCCAGTGTTCATCTCGTCTCTGCCTTGTGTGGCTTTATAGACTATCTGTGTTGCAGGAGAGGTTCTGTGGCTGTGGTATCATGGAACTCTGTCCTGAGATTGGTTGTTGACTGTTATGCCCACAGTGATGAGCTCACTCCTTGTGCTAAGTTGTGCAGAGCCAATTCTGCCCTGAAGATGGACCTTGGGCCTCGCTGCTCTGTAAGGACCCTGCCTGTGTTCAGATGGAAGGAGCCCAGCCTCTGTGTCCGTGCAGCAGCGCAGGGGAGACACAAACTGGGATCCTGGAGCCCTGGGAGGGTGGAGGCCAGACCCCAGGGCCACCTCCTCACCACACCTGCAGCTGACACGGGCTCAGCGCCCCCTGCCGGCCTGAGGGGGCCGTTTTGTGCATGTTTGTGTCTGGGCTCCCACTGGTTTCCTTTCACTGTGCCTTGCACAGTAATACAGGGCCGTGTCCTCGGTTCTCAGGCTGTTCATTTGCAGGTCCAGCGTGCTTTTACTGTTGTCTCTGGAGATGGTGAACCGGCCCTTCACAGAGTCTGGGTACCATGTGCTACAACCCCCTGGATCAATTCGTGCAACCCACTCCAGCCCCTTCCCTGGAGCCTGGCGGACCCAGTCCATGTAGTAACCACTGAAGGTGAATCCGGAGGCTGCACAGGAGAGTCTCAGGGATCCCCCAGGCTGCACCAAGTCTCCCCCAGACTCCACCAGCCGCACCTCCCACATATGTCCATTTGCACACTCAGTGTCCCTTGCTCCCCATGAATCACCTTTCAACAGAGCAACGAGGAGAACCCAGCGCAGCCCCAGCTCCATGGTGGTGGTTTGTGCTCAGTCACTGGTGGAATCAGCTCACAGAGCTCAGGTCAGGGATGGGCTGGTTTTCATGGGCAGAGGGACGTCCTATTTGCATGTCCTCTGCTATAAAGCAGCTCGGGGGGAAGTCTAGAGATTGGGCTCCCAGAGCAGAGGTGACTGTGCTGGAGGAGGTTGGTGACAATGGTCACCTTGGAGACATCATGACGCACTGACCACGCGCTGTGGTTCACACTGTACCTGCAGCTCCTTGGGAGCCTGAGGCAGAGTGTGAGAACACTGAGAGCTGTCTGGGGTGCAGAGGGACACACATGTCCTCTCACTCTGCCATTGTGCCTGGTGATCGTTCTGTCAGCATTTCTGATCACACACAAAAACACAAAGTGCAAAATGCCTGTGACCTCCTTGTGCACACGCAAGAGTGTAAAACAATGATGAATTGTTTCCACACTGGCAGCATCTCCCGTGGTATGAGCTCCATGCCTGGTCTGGGCCTGCACAGCCAAGGAGGGCCCACAGTTCCTGGTGTGTTTCAGGAGAATGGTGCTCATCTGTGAGCTCTGCAGATCCTCCTTCCTGAGCCGAGATCAGGTGTGGCTTTGCTTTCCTTTACTTCATTCTGACCATAAACCAGGAAGGCCAGGGTTCAGACAGATGCTTGACAGTGGGCTCTGCTGTATCAGTTTCACAGTCTGGCTTTCTTGTTTGTTTTTCTGGTTCATATACACTCTGCATTTCTGACAGTATTCCATGTATTGTATATTGTGATAACCTCAATGAGTCACTACATGTAATATACAGTGCTCATAGGTAAACACTGATTTGGTAACTATCGATAAAGTATTTGTGTGTTCTTCAAATTGTTTTAGAAACCATGGGATTCCTTATTTGCTTGCAATTTCTTTTTATTGTTGAAATACTGTACAGAGTGTTTACAATTACATGATCACGATCATGAGTACTTTTCTTATCAAGCATTGTTGACACCTCCTTTGTCTCCCCTTCCCATCCCTTCCATTCTCTCCCTCCCACATCCCCCGCCTCCAGATCCGCTGTCTCCTCCCTCCCTCCCCTGCACCTATGCAAAAGTTGAAAAGTTTGTTTTTCGACATAACGACTTGTACATCTCATTGTTGCAACGTGTCCACCTGTATCCCTATTTAAACGATTCTTTTCCCTTCCTCTCCACAAATTATACCAACATCAATTACAGTGAAAGCAGGAATTATACCGTGGGGGAGGGACATACAAAGCAACAAAAAATCATCTTATAAACATATTAGAAACAATCACAAGAAAGAAAAATCATTTGAATCTTTATCTTGGGGTTCATTTTGCCTAACATCAACTTGTCTGATAGTTTCTGTTTGTCTTAAACATATACTAGTTATTGGAAATAAGACATAATGTGATACTGGTGTTTCTATGGTTGGTTTATTTCCTTTAATCTAACTCTCTTTAGATCTATCACAAATGACAGTCTTTCTTCCATTCTGTGGGTTAGTTCTATTCCATTGTACACCCTTTCCCATTTCCTTTATCTGTTCTTCTCTTGTTGGACCTTTACTTTAATCTCAGCCCTCCTCTGCCACGTTCTCCCTAGGATGTCCTGTGCTCCATGCTCCACTGCCCTGTCCCTAAGTTCTATCTGAGAAACATCAGAATGGCCTTTGCCATGCATCTTGCCAACTTCCCGTTCAGAACACGTAGCTATGAGCAGCTCAGCTCACAACAATGTTTGGGCAGTGATGATCAGGATATATAAAATTGTCCCACAGAATTATGGTGCACATAAAATATTCCTTTTATTAGTGACCTTGTGATTGTTGTAATATCATAGCATCACACACCTTGGCATGTTCATGTAGATGATGGTAGCTAGCCTAAGCTGCTGCTAGTTGCCTAAAATCTAGTAATACATTGATGTACAGTTTACATTTGATATGATAGTAAATGTGTTTCCTAATAGTCTTGAATTCTGTATTTCGTGAAACACTTTATGTTTCATTATGTCTCAATGTTTCTAGGAGGTTTGTTGGCAGCATTTTCCGTTAGGCTTGGGTGGATTTGTGTTTTTCGTCTCTAGCCTTCCTGAGATCTGATCTTAGAGATCATGGCAAAGTCAGTTTCCCCAATGTGTTATTCTCCGTGCTTTGTTGAAGTGAAGTCTCCCTATGTTTAAGTAAACCTCACAGTGGAAAGCAGAACATCTGATCCAGACAGTCAAGGATGACTACAGACACAGACATGGAGAAGTGCCTGGGAGACTGTCAGGGGATGAGCAGAAGCAGGGCAGACACAGAGGAGAGCTGGGGCAGGAAGAGCAGAGGCAGGGCCAGTGCATTTGCTTACCAATTAATTAATTTAGTTATTATTATAAAGGACATATGTTAACAGGTACTGGTTATTATTCAATGCAGACATACATTGTTAAATGACTAATAGTCTAAGAAGACACCTACTCTAAAGTATTGATGATTTTGTTTTGGTGAAGTCTTACCTTTCTTCATCTTTTTACAATGATTAGTGCTGTGCTACGAGATACCAGCTCCTCCTGATGAGGAGTTTTCACATCCAAATGAGGACCCAAGATACCACAGTCTCCTCATGGACAGAGAAATGGATGTCTTCTGATGAGACGAATGATTTGTCTCATCATTCACAAAAACTGTCCAGGGGAAAACCTCAGAACTTAGAAGTCTTCTTCCTAAAGCCTGTAGACAAGTTCACACACACGTTCTTGTTCAGGAAGTGAAGCTTGCTCTTCTCTGATCAGGATGTAATGGAGAAATAAACAAGGACCTGTTTGAGCAGGTTGCGGGGGTCGGGGATGCAGGGAGCTCAGTCAGATTGCTGTGAGATCACCTGGGCCCAACCCTTGTGCCCACGATGCGCTTGCACAGTGACAGTGCTCATGACGGAGCCACAGGGACCTGGCCTCCATCCCAGACGGGACATCCACAGGACTCCAGAGCCATCGAGATGGAGGAAACCCCAGGACAGACGGGGCCCAGCAAGGTCAGTCTACATGCACATGGCCTGTTGTCTGTCCAGTCCAACCCAGACTCCTCGTGTCCACTTCCACGTCCCTATGGAGGACAGCAAGAGGCCCTGGTCAGGGGAGACTGGAGAGTCCACCACCATTTCCCAGGGTGCCTTGGACTGAACTCCAGGGATATGGCTGACCCCTGTGTTTTATGATTTGAGTCCCCAAGTATATTTGTTGTCTGGACAAAGAGAAAAGGAGGCTGTGCTACCAAGAATCACTGAGTCAGAAAGTGAATGAATGGAGCAATTCTGTTAGGTCAGTTCTGAACCCTTGAGCAGTGCTACAGGTGGAGGGAGGAGGGCAGCATTTGAGGCCTGTTAAGAGTCATGGGTCAATGGGCTGTGCTCTCTCTCTCTCTCTCTCCCCCACCCCCTAACTGTTTTGAACTCAGGACCTCTTTTGTTAGGCACACACCTGCCACTTAAACGATGTTCTTACTTTTCTAATTTTAGTCATTTTCTGGTACTGTGCTGTGGTTTTGCCTGGGGCAGGTTCCAGACAGTGATTCCACACTTGCGTCCTGTGTAGCTGGAATCACAGGAAACAGCTGCCACATTCAGCTTATTGATTGGGATGAGGTCCTCAAAATCATTTTTCTCTCCTCCTCCCAGGTCTCTAGGGATACAGACACCAGTCACCATGCCAGGGGTTTCCCTCTTGTTCACAGAACAAATTCCAACTCTGTGAATCCTGGGACCTTTCCCTGAGTCTCGTGGGGTCAGCAGGGTCCCTGAATTTCTTTAGGATCAAATACTGGTCACCACTGCAGAGCCATTTTTGCTTCCACCGTGATACTCTGTTCATTCTTAACAGTCTCAGCAAAGGACTGGAGACATCAAAGAGGAGTGGGGGTCATGAACTCAGGAGAGATGCTGTCACACTGTGGACACAGAGGCAGGGCAGACAGCAGGAGAGCAGCCCTGGGCTCTGTGTGCAGCTGCTCCTGAGCTGACCCGGCTCCAAGCTGTGCCGAGCGCCCCCTGCTGGTGCTGAGCGTCCTGCAGGGAGGTTTGTGTCTGGCCCACACTGGATTTCCTGCACTGTGTCTCTAGCACAGTAATAGAGGGCCGTGTCCTCCACTCTCAGGCTGTTCATCTGCAGGTAAAGTGTGTTCTTGCTGTTGTCTCTGGAGATGGTGAAGCGGCCCTTCACGGAGTCTGCGTAGTATATGCTATTACTATCACCACGAATGTCTGAGAGCCACTCAGGCCTCTTCCCTGGAGCCTGGCGGATCCAGCTCATCCAGTAATTACTGAATTCGAATCCAGAGGCTGCACAGGAGAGTCTCAGGGACCCCCCAGGCTGCACCAAGCCTCCCCCAGACTCCACCAGCTGCACCTCACACTGCACACCTGCAAACACAGAGAATCCAGGTAAGCAATGGTCACACACATCCACAGATCCTCCCACTACTGTGCATTTGCACACTCAGTGTGTCTTGTTCCCATACATCACCTTTCATCAGAACAACAAGGAGAACCCAACGCAGCCCCAGCTCCATGGTGAGAGGTCTGTGTCAGCCTGAGGCCTGAATGGTTCACTGGGAATCCAGGGCTGATGTCTCTCCACGCCTTCAGGGTCAGGACTGGCTGGTTTTAGTGAGTAGAGGAAGGCCCTATTTGCATGTCTTCTACTACATAGAGCCGGGGTTGGAGGTGTCAGGGAGGGCAGTGCTGAGGCAGATGTGAGAGTCCTGAGGGGCATTGCTACAAAGATGGCCTCCCAGAACACACGGCACCCCATTGCTGCCACCTGCTGGTTATCCACGTATTCGTCCCACGTTGATCTGAATATTACAGTCACCTCCCTGCACAGACGGGAAAGTACACACAGGTTCCACACAGCCGTGTGCTCTGGAGAGAAGATCTCATGTCTGCTATGTCATCTGTCCTTCCTCTCCCTCATTGCTGAGGTCAGTGTCCTCTGCTCCATTCTTGAGCTGAGTGGGTCACGGTCCTCTAGTGAGAGCAGGAGAGACGTGATGCACTGCAGGAGCTGCTGAAAGAAGACTCAGAGAGCCAGGCTCATGGGGACACTGCTGACAAGCCTGCATTTCTTCTGTCATCATCTGCATGTCTGTCACTTCCTCTCATCTCATCGACTGCTTACTGCCAACAACCTCACTGAGGATACATGCCTACATGAACCTCACAGTCACCAAGTGTGCACTTGACATGCATTAGCTTATGGACAACTACACAATATCTGTACAAGTCTTTGCCAGTTCATCAATGGGTTTTCCAACAGTTGAGTGTTGAGGTTCCTCTCACAGTCTGGATGCACAAATGCTGTTGGGTGTGTGATTTGCCAACATTTCTTCCACTTCAAAGCCTGTCATTTATTTATTTGTCACTTGAGCAGAATGTTGAAGAGTTTCAAGTTACATCTTTAATTGATTCTGATATAAAAAATCTAAATTATTAATTGGCTATTGAAAGATTAAAAATTAGAATTACATTTTACAATTGCTAACTGCTGATTTCGCTTTTGTAAACTTGCTTGCGCTAGCACTATCCCCCCCTCCCTTCTGGAAATAAGGAATTGAGTAAACTAGGAGCCCAGATGCCGCCCCGGGACAAGGTTTGTGGTCATAGATAAAGAACAAACAAGTAAATTCCCCAAGTGGCCTAATGGGACCCAAGAATGGGACCCAACATAAGGACCACCTGGCAAATCCAGCAAACTAGGCCAAATATTAATCAATCACAAGCCTATAACTATGTAAACTCCCCTCCAGGGTGACCGCTCCCCCTAGACTTGCCCTGAGCCAACTGTTTTACAAAGAGTGTTATAAACTTCCCCCATGTAGTAAAAATGATTGCTGGAGTACATAGTGACTTTTAAACGGGCCAATCCCAGGGACACCTGGTGTTATATGCTAATCTTGTGGGTTTTGCCTTTAAGAATGCCTGTAACTGCTGCTCGGGGCTCTCTCCCTTGCTGAGGCAGAGAGACCGTTTGCACAAATGCTGAATAAACTCCTCTTGCTTGTTGCATCTACTGGTTTGGAGTCTTGGTTTCTGGGGCACCCTCCCGTAGACGAAAGTATCCCAGGACTCTGGGGTCTTTCAGCTATTCCATGGGCTCTATATTCTGTATAGAAAACCTTGATTTTCCTGTTTCTTCATTAGAGACCTGGCAATTGTTGATGTATTTGGACATGAATGTGAATGGAAGACCTGACCTGAATGTGAATGGGAGACCTGACCTGTTATTGGTGTGTGTGCATGTGTCTGAGCATGTGTGTACAGAGGCATTCATATGGCACACTTTCCATAATACTACTCACAAGTGTGGCTTCTTACTCAAACTTGAGTCAAAAGCGTCAGGAGAGTTGTGCTTCTGGGTTCCATAACTTGGAGGTCCAAGTGGAAACTCAGGTCTTGGACCCCAGCACGTCAGTACAGAGAGGAGGTGAACGTTCAGAATGGGGCCTGGTGGGAAGGGTGCAGGCCCTGGGCCTGGAGTTGAACAGGACAGAGCCTCCCTCAGGACCAGAGGGCCTGATGTCCCGCAGTCATTTCAGTCCCTGAGGGTGACGTTTAAAGTGTGTGTGTCTTATGTTAAAATCTCAGCAGAACACAGAAGGTGCTGCAGTGTGGGTCTGGGTTGCTGGTGGCTGCCTCTGAAATGTCCCTGGTCCTCCTTTCTGTTTTCCTGGTCAGCAGCTCCGGCCTCTCTCTGTCCACAGCAAATCAGGATTTGTTCCTCTGGCCACCGCCGTACTGCCGCACCTCCTAATACAACTCTCTGTTTGTTTCCCATTGAATCTTTTTGATTTAAATTTATCCTTTGTCCTCTTCTCATGTTTTATTACAAGAAATCAAAGAAAGCAATCCTGAATGCTTGACACTGCTGAGAGATTCAGACTCCCATAAGCTTGCTGGCCTACCCTAAGTGGACTTCTACAGCCATCCAAGATGTGAACGTACCTCAGCCACTTCTGCCACGTTCTCCATAGGATGTCCTGTGCTCCATGCTCCTTGCCCTGTCCCTAATTTCTATTTTGTTTCTTTCAGTCTGTCTACTCACTCCATCCTGTCTACGGTCTTTCCTGTCCACCCTTATAGGAGGAAAACCGAGGACTGTGGATACCGGGCCATGCAATTTATCCACCTTCTCCAGACGGACAAGCCACGGGTGATCCCCTGGAAGACATGTCCGGCAGCTTGGCTGAGCCCACAGTGCACACGCAGCCATTTGCAGTTGCACACCCATGAAAGCAAGTTTTAACATCAGTGTGTCAAGTCAGACAGGATGTACTGTGCACTTACCTGATCTGACCTGTGTCTGTAAGCTCGGCCTGGGCTGGAGGACAGAGGCCGGTCCTGTCAGCGTGGGCTCCGGAGTATGCGTTCACCGCTCCCACAGCCGGGCCCAGTCTGTGCTCACCAGGAAGCCCGGAGTCTCTGTGCTGACCCTGCGGGAGAGCACGCACCTGGAGCCCTGAGCGCTCCAGACCCGCCCTGGCCTGTGCGGAGCCAGCTCTGCCTGAGCCGGAGCCTGGGCCTTGCTGCGCTGTCAGGCCCTGCCTGGCGTTCAGATGGAAGGAGCCCAGCCTCTGTGTCCGAGCAGCAGCGCAGGGGAGACACCAGCTGGGGTCCTGGAGCCCTGGGAGGGTGGAGGCCAGACCCCAGGGCCACCTCCTCACCACACCTGCAGCTGACGCGTCTCAGTGTCTGGCCTAGGCCGCTGCACCTGTGTGTCTGGGCCCCACTGGCTCCTCTCACTGTGCCCTGCACAGTGACACAGGGCCGTGTCCTCGGTTCTCAGGCTGCGCATTTGCAGGTCCAGCGTGCTTTGACTGTTGTCTCTGGAGAGGGTGAACCGCCCTTCACAGAGTCTGTGTACCGTGTGCTACCACGCCCTGGATCAATTTGTGCAACCCACTCCAGCCCATTCCCTGGAGCCTGGCGGACCCAGTCCATGTAGTAACCACTGAAGGTGAATCCAGAGGCTGCACAGGAGAGTCTCAGGGACCCCCCAGGCTGCACCAAGCCTCCCCCAGACTCCACCAGCTGCACCTCACACTGCACACCTGCAAACACAGAGAATCCTGGTCAGCAATGGTCACACACATCCACGGTTCCTCCCACTCATGTGCATTTGCACACTCAGTATCCCTTGCTCCCCATGAATCACCTTTCAACAGAGCAACAAGGAGAACCCAGCGCAGCCCCAGCTCCATGGTGGTGGTCTGTGCTCAGTCACTGGTGGAATCAGCTCACAGAGCTCAGGTCAGGGATGGGCTGGTTTTCATGGGCAGAGGGACGTCCTATTTGCATGTCCTCTGCTATAAAGCAGCTCAGGGGGGAAGTCTAGAGATTGGGCTCCCAGAGCAGAGGTGACTGTGCTGGAGGAGTTTGGTGACAATGGTCACCTTGGAGACATCATGGTGCACTGACCACGTGCTGTTGTTCACACTGTACCTGCAGGTCCTTGGGAGCCTGAGGCAGAATGTGAGAACATTGAGAGCTGTCTGGGGTGCAGAGGGACACACATGTCCTCTCACTCTGCCATTGTGCCTGGTGATCGTTCTGTCAGCATTTCTAATCACACACAAAACACAAAGTGCAACACGCGTGTGACCTCCTTGTGCACTCGCAACAGTGTAAATCAATTGTGAGTGCGTTTCCACACTGGCAGCGTCTCCTATGGTGTGAACTCCATGCCTGGTCTGGGCCTGCACAGCCAAGGAGGGCCCACAGTTCCTGGTGTGTTCCAGGAGAATGGTGCTCATCTGTGAGCTCACAGAGCCTCCTTCCTGAGCCGAGATTAGGTGTGGCTTTGCTGCACTTTACTTCAATCTGACCACCAACCAAGATGGCCTGGGTTCAGGCATACACTTGACAGTGGGCTCTGGTGTATCACTTGTCACAGTCTAGCTTTCTTGTTTATCCTGTTTATATGCATTTATTTGTAACAATATCATTGGTGTTGTTAATCTCAATAATAATAATCTCAATAATTCACAATCCATAACAATGTGCTCATAGGTAAATGGGTATTTGGTAATTATGGACAAATGCTTTGTCTTCTTCAAATTGTTTTATCAACCCTTTGACAGTTTCCTTGCATCTGTCTTTCAAGTCATTGGTTGCAGTGATTCCTAGTGCTGGACAAGATGGTGAGCTAAATGTGAACAACACTTTTGTCCATGAACAAGAATCCACTGACACAAAGCTGAGCAGATTCTGAGGAAGAGAGGAAAGGAGAAGCGACAGGGAGTTTCTGGGGACCCAGGACATGGCAGAGAAGCAGTCAGGGTGGAGAAACTGTGGCACTGAGCTCTGACCTGTGTGCAGCTCTCCTGCTGGGGAAGAGAGCTGAGCTGTCAGCAAGCAATAGTAGGTGTGCTCACAGAGGGACTGGCAGCTCCGCCGTGGGACACATGGCTGAGGACCTCGCTGTCATCCCAGGGACTAGGAGGTGGAGACAAATCTGCTGTGAGAAGCTGACCTCAAGGCCTGGACTCCAGCCAGTGTGTTGATCTGTGTCCCTCAGGCCTAGGAATTGTCCTGTGGAGAGGACTTCTGTGGAGCACTAGAGATGTGGTGGTATACAGAGCAGGCTGCCATAGACCTCGTGTTTACATATGTTATGAGAAGATTGAGAAGGAAGGTCAAATTGCTGGCAGGAAGCATGCACAGTTGAAGTGATGGGACGCCAGGCAGAAGGCAGAGGCTGGAGGCCTGGTGGGCAGCTGTCCTGGAGACTGTGCCTGTCAGGCCTGCCAGGGCAGACAAGGTGCACCATGATCCCAGCTGAGGGTCCTGCAGGGGAAGATCCTAGAAACCCAGCCACGGGCCTCTGTCACAGCCGCGCCGTGGTTGCTGAAAGAGAGCCTTTCAGTCCTGCATTAGATAAGGCAGCCGCTCCACACCGGGCGCTCAGCACACAGGAATTCCCTGCTACACCCACAGAGAGGCTTCAGCCACTGGCCCTCAGCCAGAGCTCTGCAGCCCTTCCCAGGGAAGGTCTTCTGATGAAGCCAGGCTGCTGTGCTTAGCCTCAGGCTATTGCTATTTGCACAGAAGCCTGCGTAAATGTTCAGATAAGAAAACCGAACATGCATCATTGCTGAGTATAATTTCATTTTTCTTGTACTGGTCGCTGTTAAATTGTCTTGCATTAATTTAACACTGAAGGGAAGCATATGCTATTTACCTGCATTTTATCATTACACATTACATTAGCATATCAAATTATTAAGATCTCTCTCCTAAATGTGTTGCGTCAATTTAAAAGTATACAAATGTATCTTAGTGGTATAACACTCAACATAAATGATGTTTAGGTTCAAATTTTAGGAGGAAATATAATTGTAAATGAATGGGGAGAAAGTTTCAATGGGTGTCACTGATGGACACATGTTGATCAAACTGATTTCTTTCTTTTTATATCTTTGTTGTTGGTGGGGGTTGAACTCACACTGTGGGCATTGTCTGTGAGCTCCTTAGCTCAAGGCTAATGCTCTACCACTTTTTTTTAATTTTTTTATTTTTTAGTTTAATTTTATTTTATTTGTGAACATACTGTACAGAGGAGTTACAATTACATGGGCAGGATAATGCGTACATTTCTTACCAAGCATTGCAGCCTCCTCCTTTGTTTACCCTTCACATCCCTTCCCAGCCTCCCCCCTCCCCACCCCAATCCCAATCCTTCTCCTCCCCCCCCTCCCCCCCCCCCCCCGCACCGACGTTGTAAAGCTCGTTTTGGACATGACAACTTGTACTTCTCATTATTGCAACAGCATTATTGCAACAGGTCCACCTGTATCCTTAAACAACTGGTTTTTCCCCATCTCCTCCACAAGTTATACTGACATCAAATATAGTGAAAGCAGGGGTTATACTGTGGGGGAGGGACATGCAAAGCAACAAAGAAATAATCTTATAAATGCGTTAGAAACACGTGCATGAAAGAAAAAAACATTAAGATACATATCTAAGGGTTCATTTTCCTGACATCACATTATCTGACCTTTTCCGCTTGACTCGTACATATACTAGATATTGCAAATAAGTGAAACCATGGGACCTATGTTTCTTTGGGCCTGGCTTACTTCACTTAATATAATTTTTTCCAAGTTTTTCCATTTCCTAACAAATGGGGCAATGTCATTCTTTCTGGTGGAGGCATAGAATTCCATTGTGTATATATACCACATTTTCTTGATCCATTCATCTACTGAGGGGCATCTGGGTTGGTTCCATATCTTAGCTATGGTAAATAATGCTGCAATAAACATAGTTGTGCTGGTAGCTTTAGTGTGGTCTTGTTTGTAAACATTTGGGTAAATGCCCAAAAGTGGGATTGCTGGGTCATAAGGGAGTTCTATGTGAAGTCTTTTGAGGAACCTCCATACTGCTTTCCAAAGTGGTTGAACAAGTTTACATTCCCACCAACAATGAAGTAAGGTTCCTTTCTGTCCACATCCCCTCCAGCATCTGTTGTTGTTAGAGTTCTTGATTTTTGCCGTTCTAACTGGAGTGAGGTGATATCTCAATGTTGTTTTGATTTGCATTTCTTTTATGGCTAGGGATGTTGAACATTTCTTCATGTGTCTATTGGCCATCCTTCTTTCTTCTTCAGAGAATTTCTCTTTAAGTCTTTCGCCCACTTATTTATTGGGCAGTTGTTTCTTTGAGGATTTGTTGTTGGGGGCTTTAAATTTTTGAGTTCCAAGTATATTTTAGATATGAGACCCTTGTCCGTTGTATGGCTAGTAAAGATCTTCTCCCAATCTGTGGAAGGTTAGCACCATCCTCCATTCTTCTAATTCCCTGCATCAGGGAGAATGCTCAGGGTCCCAAATGACAGATGGTGCTCAGAAGATAAAAGACACAAAGAGCCCAGGAATCATGAAAGGGTAAACAGCACCATTCAAACCACGGAGAAACAGAACCAAGAAGAAAAAGGTCTACAGTTTGAAGCCCACCTCCCAGTGTAAAGAGAGGCCGAGGTCGGCAGTGCTGTGAGCCAGGCAGCTGTGGTGGCTGCAGAGGGCAGGATGAAGGCTCCTCGGCCTCTGTGGATGGTCCCATGACAGGAGACGGCTGCACTCGGCTCACTTCCTCATTTAAGCCTGGAGTCTTGGACATCACATTGTCTTTTTGTTTCACTTACAGTTATTGGTCTTGTAGGTAAACACATTTCAGTCCCTAGCTGAGGATACTCTTGTTCGAGGGATTTTTAGTGCAATTGAGTCTGCATTGTCAGCGATGTTGGAACACCCCCTGAGAGACAGTTATGCCTCTGTTAGACCCCTGGAAACCCCTGGGTGGGAGGGCTTTCCTCTCTGCCCTTGCCTCTGCCCCCTGCTGGGGACTGAGAGCTCAGGTGGTGCTCCATCCCCCTCCATCCTGAGGGTGTAGACAGAGTGGAAATGACCATCAGCAGCTGCCGTGCGCTGTGAAGCAGGAGTGTCCACAGAGTGGACAGCACGGGGGCTGAGGGGAAGAGGAAGGGAGGCCGCTCACCTGAGACAGGTGTGGGCATCAGGGAAGAAGGACACAGGAAGTGGCCGTGCTCCACAGGAAGCTGATGGCTGATCCCATCTCATCCACACACAGGAAGTCCTTCCCTCCCACAGTGCGCCAGTGAGCACGTGAGGAAGAGGAACAAAAGGAAGGCAGGCATGTCCAGAGGGACTGTGGGGTGCTGGGGAGGTGTCCAGAGGGACCCCAGGAATGGGAGGAGGGAGCGTCACAGAACCTGACACCCAGCTCCCACCCAGCTTCTGGGGTGACATCCAGGGCTGCTGGCCCTGAGCACCTCCACAGCTCAGGCTCAGGGTCCGGTGGACAGTCTCTCTCAGGGCTCACACTGATGTCTCTCCCGGTGTTTCTTGCACAGTAATCCATGACTGGGTCCCTCCTGGTCACCGTGCTCAGCTCATGGACATCTGTTTCTTGGCTGTGTCTTCAGACACTGTGACTTGACTCCTGAGATACGGCTGCAGTTGAAGATGTCTCCTGTCCTTCCCAGCAGCTTCCCTGGGACTGTGGGACCCGGCTCCATCAGTAATGACAGCCAGGGCCACCTACATAGTGCAGGCAGGGGACAGAGACCACGCTGGTTGGCCAGGCTAGCCTGTGGAACTCCTGCAGCTGCTGGGACAGGACATCTGAAGACAGAGCACCTCAGTGCTGGGGATGGGGAGACACGGTGTGTTCTGAGTTCGGATGCAGCGTCCTCACAACATCCTGACCGCATCCCGATGTCCTACACCCAGGAACGTCCAGCAAGGAAAC